ACCTCTAATCTTGTCTTCAAATCATCAGCAGTATTCGCCCTTGTTTCATTAACCTAGACAGTTTTGACTGGGTAGGTGCCATGCTGCTCAAAACAAAAAAGGCCCCAACATGCCTTCCCCAATTGAATTTGCCACTTGCGATATCGCACATTTCGTCCCGCTGCCGTTCCGCTGCCGCACATATGATTTTTTCACCTTAAAGCAGGTTGCATCCTTCATCACTGCGGCACGTAATGTCCTTGAATAAAGACCTAGGCGGTCAGAGTATAAAGAAAGTATAGATAAAGAACAATCTCAGGGAGAACTGATCAGCCCTAAATGTTAGATGAAGTTGAGCAATAGCTACAAAAAATGCGGCACCTCTGCGGCAGCGGCAGAATCGCTCCTGTGTCCGATTAAAAAAGTGTCGCTGCGATACCACCACGCCCACATTTGTCACTATCTTGTTACACCTCTAATCTTGTCAGTATGTTAGTGTTTTAGCGCCTATAAATGGCTGCTTGCACTGTATGCTTCCCAGGAAGTTGAGTTTGTTTCAGAAAGCTCTCAGGTCTGCTAGGTTGTGAAGCGCATAGAGCTTGCTGTTGAGCGGGAATTGCGCTATACTTAATGCTACCTATTATTATTAATCTTAAGCACTTATGTGACCTTAATGTGTTGCAAGTACCGTGAAACTCTTACTTAAACAGAAACTAAGATTAATTTAACACGCTCCCTTCGCAAACCCAGAATGTGGCTTAGAATCTCGATGCTTGTTTTTCCCACAATCCTCTTAACTGGTTTTTCTTCTGTCTTTCCCATATTATTGTCTTGGAGGGTGGTTGGAGGGCGCCACTAGTAGGTCCTACTGCCTTACTTTGTCTCTGTTATTTTCATCTATGTGCTGTTATTTACTCTGACAAACAAACACACAAACAAATAAGCAAAAAACAACAACAAAATCAAATGGTGCTGTTTTTTTGGTTTTCTTTAGAACCTCTTCTCAGTTCAACATTCTTTCATACCTTCTGCGTTGTACGGTCGTTCAGGGTTCGTTTAGTTTTAGTAGAGGTTTTATAGTGCTCGCAACTGTATAAGGTCATATGAGTTCAGGGTTAATCAGCTCTTCTACTACATGTAATTGGAACCAGCGTCTGTGGTGTCGCGGTTAGGTGCTTCACTGTCA